TCTTCTTCTTCTTCTTCTTCTTCTTCTTCTTCTTCTTCTTCTTCTTCCTTAACTTCCTCTTCTTCTTCTTCTACTTCTAGTACTTCCTCCTCTGCTTCGACTTCCTCCTCCTCTAGTTTGCCTTCCTCTTCCCCACGCCAACCCTTATCTTCGTTGTCCATATTGGGACGTCGGCGGGCTCGTTCATTCTCTCATCCTCCAAGTCCCCCTCCTTCTCGACGTCATATTGATAGTAATCTGCGGGGTTCTTTGTCTTACCGGCAGCTTGCTCTGCCACGTCGACGGCGTTCGTCGTTTACACGCCGACCCCGCCAGATCAGATCTGGCTTCCCAGTGGTGACCGGTTCAGATCTGCGGGCAGACCTATCAAATATTTGTGGTTTGACAGCCACAAATGTCTGCCTACAGGCTTATCAGCGTCAATGTTATACTGCGTCCCAATTTGTTACAGACGCTGTTGAAAAATCAGTTGTTGTTTGACCATAATAGTCCACCTGCAGAGGGTAGTAACTACACTACCTCAGGAGGCTTTACTGTGAACGTCTTACAGTTAGCGTTCCACGGCCGCCACCTTCTTATGCATCATGCGACACCAGGCGATGACCTCAATAACCATCCTCATATTGCTGCCTGTATTTTACACAGATCCGGGCATTATATGGCACTCATTCGTGCAGCTGCCCAGTGGGAACTGTGGGATGGTGGGACAACGAGTCAGGTCATTTTCGACGTGAATGAATTTCTGCATGCATTGTCAGGTCATTTTCGACGTGAATGAATTTCTGCATGCATTGTCGAATCATACTTTATTCTGGATTATTGACCGACTCTCGTGTGACACCTGTCGGGACAGAGATGCGGTGTGCCTTGGCTGTGGAATGCATCATCTATGCCATAGCCATTATCAAACTATGGCGACTGCCGCCGTCTGTACTGAAGGGTGTCCAACATTTCCTCATTGTACACATCCCTGTCACCCAGATATACGGTGTCCCTTTTGTGCCCAAGGACGCTATCAGAACTGTATGATGTCGCACTGTGATGAACGTCCTGCTGTTTTTTTGACATGTGGACAACATGTCCTCTGTCAGGACTGTTTTGATGGGATGGTTCATGCTAGCCGTCCTGCTGAATGCTGTGCTGGCGCAGCTCTCCTTGGGTATCCTTGTGAACATCCACATCATCCTCATCGTAGCTGTCCTATCTGCCGAGGTGGGGACAGGTAAAGAAAAAAAGAAAAAAGAAAAAAAAGGAAAAAAGAGGGAAAAAAAAAAACATAATAAGAAAATAAGAAAATAAGAAAGAAAGAAAAAAGAAAATTGGATTATCTTCGTTTCCCTGTCAGGTTTGCCTTTTGGCTGCGTGCAAGTGGGTCCTTGTGACACACGGGGATGGGGGCAGCCAGCGCTCAACCTGTCATCCACGTGGCTGGCCTTGTACGTAAGAGGTGATGAACAGGTGGGGCTTTCCTTCCTTCTTTTCCTTTCCTTGTTTTGCCTTTTTCCACCTTTGCGCTCCAATTCTCAGTGTGACAATATATATTGTCACAAGAGTATCAGAGCGCAAATGCGAACAAAAAGAACAAAAAGGAAAAAAGAAAGAAAACCAAGAAAAAATAAATTCAATTTTTTATCTTCTTCCTTATAACTCCCCCTGTTCAGAACCTCTTGCGTACAAGGCCGCCCACGTGGATGTAGGTTGAGCAGCGGCTGCCCCCACCCCCGTGTGTCATATCGACCCACTTGCACACAGCCAAAAGGCAAAGAGGCAAAGAAAAGAGGAAAGGAACAGCCAAATAAAACAGAACAGGGGGCAACAAAACAGATCCCAGATGACAAGTCCCACATACAAGCACCGCCCCAGCACACACGGGCCAAACGACGGGACAAGACCAACCAGGATGTCAAAACATTCTTGTCTGCAAAGAAATCAAAAAAAGGTCCCAGATACATATCTATACACAGCAGATGGCCTTGTTCAACATTCCTATTCCGCGTCATCGTAAGCAACTCGTACCGGGACATCATAAAAAACAATCCTAGATGATGATTCCCACATAAAAGCACCGCCCCCATGCAGGCCGAACAATGGGAAACAAGCAACCAGGATGCCAAGACTACAAAAAAAAACCGGATGACTGGTCCCACATGAAGCACCGCTACGCCCGTGAAATAGACCGAACAACGGGACAAAACCAACCGGCATGCAGACAAGGTTACCACACCACAACAAGTCTACCACATCCATAGTAAAAAAAACGGAACCATTCAGAAGGCCCGCAAAACGAAACACCCCAACAACGAGGGTATATTGTCACACTGTGAATGGGAGCGCAAAGGCGGAATATATATATTGTCACATTGTGAATCAGAGCGCAGAAGCGAAAAAAAGGGGAAAGAAAAAAAGAAAAGGAAAAAAGGGGAAGGGGAAGAGGTAAGGAAAGCTCCACCTGTTCATAACCTCTTACGTACAAGGCCAGCCACGTGGATGACAGGTTGAGCGCTGGCTGCCCCCATCCCCGTGTGTCACAAGGACCCACTTGCACGCAGCCAAAAGGCAAAGAGGTAAAGAAAGGGAGGAGGAAACCAAACCTGACAGGGAAAGAAAAAAAAGGGAGGAGGAAACCAAACCTGACAGGGAAAGAAAGATAGGGAAAGAAAGATAATCCAATTATCACAAAGCAAATAACACATCCCACAGATCAACATATCTTTTTTCTTTTTTTCTTTTTTTCTCTTTTTTCTTTTTTTCTTTTCGTCTCTTTTTCTTTTCTTCTTTTTTTCTTTACCTATCCCCACCTCGGCAGATAGGACAGCTACGGTGAGGATGATGTATATCGTCAAATACAACTGCCCGGCAGACCATCGGCGTAAAGGGAGAAGAGGGGACAACAAACAAGGGTCTGTCNGTAAAGGGAGAAGAGGGGACAACAAACAAGGGTCTGTCTGTGACAAACTGTTTCGTCGTTCGAGTTTCACAGGCTACAAATGTATATATATTGTCACACTAAATCGGAGCGCAAAGGCCCAAAAAAACAAAACAAAAAAAGGAAAGAAGGAAGGAAAGCTCCACCTGTTCATCACCTCTTACGTACAAGGCCGGCCACGTGGATGACAGACAGGTTGAGCGCTGGCCGCCCCCATCCCCGTGTGTCACAAGGACCCACTTGCACACAGCCAAATGGCAAAGAGGTAAAGAAAAGGAGGAAACCAAACCTCACAAAGGCAAGAGAAAGAGAAAAGGGATCCAGTCGAAGAAAGGACAAGGGAAAAGGAAGGCCTATCAGTCAAGCAAAGCAACTGACACATCCCACAGATTGCCACTGTCACAACAAAGCTCAACATTTTTTTTTCTTGTTTTCTTTTTTCTTGTTTTCTTTTTGGGAAAAATTTCGAAATGCCCCTGAAGTTTGCGTTTATTTGCGGTGTGCCCCTCTGATGGCCGACTTACCTTGTCGCGCCCCTCTGACGACGAATGATGTTTCCAGAAAACCCCTGGTGTCGTTTGGGCCTGAAAAATGTTTCATATGCCCCTACCGGTACCAGTACCAAATTTTCAGTATGCCCCTACCAGATGACCGTTGAGAACCAGCACAAAAGTTTCCCATATGCCCTTATTGGTACCGTCCATCTTTCCAGCGAGCCCCTGTGGCCATTGTTGACACTCGCAGTCTTTCCCCTGGGCCCGGTTGAGATGCTACCGGGGCATATCAGCAATTTGGTGATGAGCATGGACACACACACACACACACACACACACACACACACACACACACACACACACACAC